GACCTACTGTGTCTCTTCTTCTCTGGAAACATGAGTGGCAACAAATCCTCTCCTTCAAGATTAACAAGTCCAATTTCCCACTGAGCCTGAATCTAACAGTCTGTCTTCCCCTCGTCTTCCAGTTTCCGGCTGAGCAGAGTTCGGAGGAACTCTGCGCCAAACTCAAATCACTCTTCAATAAAACCCATTGAACTTTTATATTGTGTCTCCCTGTTTGGCTTCACTGCATGTGGGTCCGAGCTTTAGATAAAATCATGACATTATCCAAATCAGTTGATTTTTAGGTGGGAAAAATTTAAATGATTTAAAAGCTCAGATTCCTACTTTTATCGGTAAAGGCCATACCAGAAACAAAAGATCAACAATGCCTAAAGAAAAATGAATTGACTAATAATATACCCGCTGAAAACAACATGATCAAATGCAGATAAATGCACAGACATCAATTACCATGCTGCATTTTGGAGACAGCTTGCAGTATCAAAAAATTTTAATTTGTATGCAGGTTGTGCAATCCAATTTTATGATGACTGGCAACCACTGGAGATGGTCTCCTGGCGATTTATTTAGATGGGCAGTGCAAATGGGTTTAGCCTTATAATGGGAGCAGATAATGATCTGATGCTGTTAAAAGCCTAAGAGTGATAGTACATTTTAAACTGATTACATAAATTCCATGCCTTTATTTCTCAATTCATGTCCATTATTTAACATTACTGTCAAATTATTTGCACATGCAATTGCTGTAAATCAGGTTTAAAGTTTACAGTTTCAGATTTTCAGATCTTCCATCTCTCCGGGATCTGCACGCCTCCAGGACTCTAAGGCTAGCAGGGAAGATTGTGGCTGATCCCTCGCCCTCCAGCCATAAAAGAAGAGAGATTTGCAAGTGAAACATTATTTTGTGGCATTTTTGAGTAAACTTAAACATGGCAGCGAAGGGTCAGAAGGGACCATTTATGTTAGCAACAGAGATGGTGCATGCATCCTTTGCTATAGAATGTTTCAGAAAATTTTAATTATTTGGGTAAAACTTGAGATCTGAAAAGTGATGTCTCTATCTGGGCTAAAAGAGATATTTGGGAAAATTCACCTATTCAAAGAAAACCCAAAGAAGTTCAAAATTAACATTCTGGAAAAGAAGAGACCAAATCTGATATAGTTTATTGTGGATTGGAGGAACCGGTTGGGCAATGGGAAACTCAGTTGAGCATCAGGTCCTCTATGGGAGGAACTATGGTGAGGTGACCGTCAGCAGAAAGGCAAAGTTGGCCAAAAATGTGAAAGATAGAATGCGACAAGACATCGGCCATCGTGTTAGAATACCAAGAGCAACATCAACATAACAGGACAGTCTGGCTGTATTATGTACCTACAGCAATTGTTGCCATCATATCACTATCAACACAAATGCTTGATCTATCTAGTCTTATTTTATCATGATCAAATGGTTTTTGATCTTTCATAATAGACATTTAAACATACAGCCCTTTATTGCACTGCGTGCCATCAGTTAACCCCTTGGGTGTCATGGGATTGGATAGCTCTGCCTTACATACATGCCTTATATACAATTTCCATTACAGCTGCGATACAGTCAGAGCATACATAATTGAGACTTATATTGTCATTTGTTTTCATATAAGAAGCATTTTATGTTGACTTTTTTGTATCGAAAAAGTCACTGAATGTGACATTTGACCATTACAATACTTATAAATTTTTTGTTATTAAAGTTTTTACATAGATTTATCAAATAACATATGATTAGTATATTTTTTAATATAATTGTTAAAAATTTTATTCGTTAGACCAACATTTGAAGTTTTTGCAAAACAGATTAAAATCTAGATTCACCCCATAAGAGATTACAAATTAAGGATGTGCTAAAAAATGCATATAAAGGAAAAGAAAGTAAAAAAGGTGAAAGATTAAGCAGAGATGGATAAACAATAATACCAGCCAAATGAAAAGTATGAGTTTTTTTTAAGTAAATTACACTATACATCATCAGTAGCTGTGAGACTACACAGGACCTCCTCCATACTCTTTGATCACAATTTTCAAATGATATGCAAAAACGTTCATCTTGAATAAAAAAAAAAACTGCCAGTCATGATGTAGTGTATCTGCAAATTGTGCAATAAAGTTTTAAAAGAAGGTCGGGATTGGGTGGAATCTGGACCAAAAATAAAAGTAACACATATGACTTTGAAACTGTAAAAAATTAGTTGGTAGTAACATAAATATAAGGTGTTATAACAGGTCAGTTTTTACCTAATGATTGCTTTCCACTAGCAGCCCATAATTTCAATTAACACGTTAAACAAACATTTATCACCAATCTCTCCCTTTACTGTAAATACATCATCACATTACTTACATTACAGAGAACGCAAACTTTATAAAAAGATTTAGATATTGCTTATATTAAATAGCTCTGAGTATAAAGAATATCAGAATTACCTAAATGTAATTATTCAGATTTTAAAGTATTAATTCATTTATTTATTTTTTTGGTGACCTAATACAAGTTATCATTTTTACATACAATGCTGAAGTATTTGTAAATTACTGCTGCAAATGTGTTATTCTAGGATTAAGATTACCAAAACACAGTTGGCTGACTGTTGGTAGTGGACACAGGATATGTAAAAGGCTACTTATATGTGATAAACATGACAGATGAGACCAAAATCATGGCTCATATTTCTCTAGAAATGAGGTGATGGTGGGGGGCAATCTATAAATTCAGTGAACCCTTCAAAAAATCAATTGCATTTTATAGATTACAGTCTGATAAGTAAGGATGTCAACCAACACCGTGAAACCGAATCCAGAGCATCACATGGAATCACTTCAAGCTAAGCAAATGAGCATTTGGAAAATTGAAATTTATTTCCCAGATGACTTACATTGACACGGTTGCTATATAGGTTTAATAATCATATAACAATTAAATCAAACATCTTTGAAATCAAGCTGTTCACTTAGGAATTGATATTCAGTTTCACATTCTGTTGTGAAAATGGAATAGACAACATAAAAAAAATGATTGGCAATTAGCAAGACACACTCAATAAAGGAGTGGTTCTGCAGGTGGGGACCACAGACCACTTCTCAGGACCTATGCTTTCTGACTGATGTTTTGGTCAATCCTGAATGTTGGTGGCGCTTTCACACTCATGGTAGCATGAGACAGACCACACTGGGTCAGGTACTGCATCATCCAGGATGGAACATCACTGGGAGCTGTTAGACAATATGCTGGTGTGGTTGGCCCTGGGTACCTCCTAATGCAGGACAACGCTGGACCTCATGTGCCGGAAGTGTGACAGCAGTTCCTGCAAGATGAAAGTATTGAAGCAATGGACTGGCCAGCCCATTCCTAAGACTTGAATCCGATTGAGCACATCTGGGACATCATGTCTCGATCAACCTACCATCACGTTGCACCACAGACTGTCCAGCAGTTGGCGAATGCTTTAGTCCAGGTTTGGGAGGAGATCCCTCAGGAGACCATCCACCACCTCATAAGGAGCATGCCTAGGCATTGTAGGGAAGTCATACAGGCACATGGAGGCCGCACACAATACTGAGCATCATTTTGATGCTGCTTTAAGGACATTACATGAAAGTTGAAGCAGCCTGTAGTGTGTTTTTCCAATTAGATTTTGTGTGTGACTTCAAATCTAGGCCTCCATTGGTTAATAAATCTTATGTACATTGATGTCTTTTGTTTGATGTTGTCAGAAAATTAAATTCAAGTATTCAAATATAATATGTAATTCATTCAGACTCAGGAAGTGTTTTTTCGCTATTATATTAAGATTTATATGTGTATATGTATATATATATATATATATATATATATATATATATATATATATATATATATATATATATATATATATATATATATACACAATTTTCCAAGAACATATATCAGAAATACAGTACGATGAAAAAAATTTCAAGAGCTGTCTATTTGTCATTTTTTTAGTTATCCCTATGTATAAATGATAAAGAAAACACATTTTTATATGTATGTAGAAGGCCAAAAGCATAAAAGAAGCCAATAAAAATTCAAACTTTATACTTCAAAGTTATATCCCTTTCTAAAAAAAACAAAAATAATAATAGAGCTAACAAATAATGTTTCCCGTCTCTGTTAATATCTATACTATCACATTCTTATAAAAAAAATAAATGCATCCATGATAAAATATTTGTATACAATATGACTTTCAAAAAATAAATTCACTGACTTTATGAGTACAGTCAGGAGACATGTTAATTTTTTCTTACTGACCATGCGGTGGCTTCTCAGCGATTTTAGTATACTATAATCATCCAAATAATTCAAATTACGTTATAAGTCTCAAATGGTAGACATTTTGGACTCCTTGCATTTCCCACCTTTATTTAGGTAAAAAAAAAAGTTTCACCCTGCAAAAGTACAACTGCAGATAACGTTAACAATTTAAATAATGACTCTCCGGGTGACGTCATGCCATGTGACTTATGATCAATTTCAGATGTCCTTTTTTAATTGCACAAAATGGACAAAAATACATCACAAAAACGCATGCACATGAATCCAAGTCTACTCTAAATCAAATGCATATAGTGCTATTTTTTTCTCTGTTATTGCGACATAACCCCCAGATTTGCTTATCTCAAACGGATTTTCTCCTATCAAAATATAGAAAATTTATAACTTCTTCTATTGCCAAACTCTGTTGTTTTAACAGTTTTTAACTAGGTAGATCCAGAAGGCTGAAGAGTTGTCTTCACAGCAGGACACAACAATTATTTTACAGTTATTGCTCTGTAGCAATGCATACAAAGAAATGAACAAGTACATTCTTTCGTATTTAATTTTTTTACTACACATACATTGGTTTAAATGCATATCTTTAAAACAGTTGACATATTCTGAAGACGTTTACTGCCCTGTGGTCAAGAAAAGGACTGAGGGCCAGCCAAGGTAGTTAAGCAATTCCACCAGATATTTTTTTTTAACTAACCTGTCCTAAGTTTTTTTTTTTTTTTTTTTTATCCAGGTGAATTACCTACTTTCATTCAGCTGCCATCATCTTTTCACCACGTTGCTCACAGTTTTACCTTATTCATTGGAAACAGCACAGTGATGATGATTCATATATCATCAAGAAATGTTACAAATGTACCAAGACAATTGTTTAAATCCATGCATTTCATGCATAGATGATAGTACTCATTTGAGGCCTCCGAAGAGGAGTGTGTCAAGAGTTTGCTGTATGTCCCGCAGGTTTTTGGCTAGTCAACTGTCCGTTCAGTCATGTCTGTTCACCTTCTAAACTCTTCTCTGTTGAGTTTAAATTGAAGCCGAGCTGACTGTAAATGAAAAATCCATACACACTGCTACCTTCCAGCAAACCCTCTCCATGATCTTTGATCTTGCCTTGTGATTCTTATTCTCAGCTGATTTTGAACAATGTGGAACCACCCCACAACTTTCACTTCAGAGATTGAACTTAACCCCTTTCAGCCTCTGTAATACCTTTCTTCCAATGATCCGAAAGATTTTCAGAGACTCTGTTTTTTTCCATGACAAACCATGGTACACTGAACAAATACAAAACAAGATTGCCAACACATTTCTCTCATTAATGCACACAACAATATAACGCTACTCATTGCACACTGCTGATGAATAGTCATAATATCCTGGCGAATGATATGTATTGTTAGGTGTACTTTACACATTTCCATCTGTTTGTGTATGGTGTCCTCGTGTTTTTCAAGGTATCTTTTTGTCTTTACTGAGACAAATCCAAGTAATCAGAGTCATTGGTGGGTCCAGTTACACTGAAGTTATTTTTCGGCATGGTTTACAGTTCTGTGATTGTCACTCTTCTCAATATTTTAACTTTTTCTTTAGTTTTTATGTATCGTAGCCATTAGGGTGAAATCAAGGACACTATTGTTCCCCAGGTCTTACTTCATGCCACTTCGCAGCACTTGATTGGCTGCAATAAGCATGACACTGATGATGAAAGCAATGGCAAAGGCGCATATCAAGCTCTTGCGCACACAGGTTTGCTTGACTTGCTGGGTTGGGCTGGAGGCTACAAACAAATAAAAGACAGGAATGATAATGATAGATAAAACATGGACATCCAATGAAATAGCAGTGTTATTTAATGCATAAAGGATATCTGATAGTTATCTCTGATAGTTCAAAACTTATAAGTGATTAAACACAATGTTAAACTTACAGACTTAAAGTTAATTTTTCTATAGGTAAAAAGAACTACTCTGCATCTTAATAGATTTTTAAACAATATGTTTTCCAATACATGGGAAAAGAGCTTCTATAATGATCTGTAAGCTTAATATAAATCTCTCCCTGCATTGTTTGTTCCAAAAGTTTTTTTTTTTTTTTTTTTTTAGTAAAGCTCTGCACAAGGATAAATTAAGCATGGCTACCTGCAATAAACTCCACATTAAGAGGGGAATTACTCTACTGAGATTGCACACCCTCATTGAGTTGCATTTAATTGGTTATGAATGGGCATCATATTGGTGTTTTTTTGTCTGTTTAAGCTGCCTCTCTTGCACCTGCCCCTTCTTTTATTGGAGACAATTCATCTTGCTTGCAAGATTAGAGAATATTGATTGGCTGAAAGTCTCTAAAGCTTCCTTAGGATAAACAGAGAAATTTGGGTGAATGGAAACATCTTGTTTTGATCTACAATTCTGGGACTTTTGGTTCCGTTTAGTTTTCACTCTGGGTTTTCAGTTAGGCTTTGATTTTTACTATTCAGTTTTTATTGTTAATTGTTATATCTTTTTTGAATTACTTCTCCTGTTTTGTGCCATTTCAGTTATCTCACATTTAGTATTCCTTAGTCTTTGCTCTAGTTTTATTTTGTCATTTATTGTTTACAGTTATTTTTAAGTTATATTTCCCAGTTACTCATCATTGCTCCCTAGTGCCACCTCCCTTACCATGTGTACCCCAATCATACCCCAATGGGACTGTTAGTCTCCTCTCCAATTTATATAAACCCCTTTTCTGCAGTTTGTCTTTGCTGGATTGTCATCTTTATATCATGTCCACATAAGTTCCTGTCAGTCTCCTACTGTGTAGTCTGTTCTGGTTCCCGTGTTTCTTGCCTGATTACTTTTGTATTTAAATTACTGCTGCCTTTAACATTAAACCTACCAGAAACTATGTCTGCCTCTGCTTCTGATTTTGGGTCCAGCTATAAACCTCTATACATCCTGACACATCTACTTTTAAAATTTTTGAATGAAAAGTGGAAGTGTTTCAATAATAAAAGAAAAAAAAGACAAAGACTTAAAAAGTAAAGCCTTATCTTATAGAGATTAAAGGATTATCTTTTAATATATAATTTTCTTTTTATCTATAACTAATATGGTATGCATAGCAAAACATTTCTGGAATTATTTCTCATGTATTTTTGATATTTTCACTTTGACTGGGAAACATTTTGACTTAATTTTTCACATGTAAACATTATGACATCTATGATATCCAACCTACCTTAAAACATTTGTTTAGAGACTAAACTTTGCAACGTTTAGTAGTTTCTTTTTACATTTCTTTTTTTCTGCTTCACTGTCTCTAGCATCACTTGCCTGCCCACTCTGTACTACTCGGTTCAGGCTCAGTCTGAGATTACATTCTCATCTGCTTTGCTTTATGTAGATTTCCCCTAGAATTAATCCCTGTTGCAGCAGCTCCTTCCATAATCCACCTGAATTTCCTTCCATCAACTTCCTCTGCAAACTTTGAAACAGTAAACTATTTTATTACTTTCATGGCTGTTTGTCTCATTTTTTGTTCTGATCCATTGTTGCATCTAACTGCTCCCTTTTTCCCTCAACACAAAAGTCTTCCTAAATTTCTCACTTAATGTTGAAAATAAACTTTTCATGTATGCATTTTGATCCTTTTGTTGGTTCCACATTTGGGTCAAGACACATTTCAAAAATAAGGTAACTTAAGTCACTTAGAGAGATTTTACAGCCAGGTGTGAGGAAAAGTAATATATTACTCAAAAGAAAGGGAACACAACTTATCAATGAAGGCAAAAAAGAAAGGAATAACAATTTCATTAATGTGCTAAAGCTAATAATCTTTTTCTGTAGTTGAAAATAACATATGCAAGCCTTGATATTTTACTTCTACTATACTGTCTACTATTCATTTTATTTTAGGAGTTAAGTTAAAAACTTTTGACATATCACACCAAGATAAGTTAGGAAAGATACAAGCGTTTTGCCTAATGTTCAAAGTTGTTAAATGGTATATGCATAAAGTTATATTTCTGGATATTTTTTAAAATATATTTTAATACAGACAAGCACAGCAGGGAGAACTGTCCAAGAGATGTACAAAAAAGAGAAAACAAGAAAAGAGAGAGGGAGTTCGATGAAACATAGAGGATTACTACTTACTGTCAATATCCACCTGGTATTCCTCTGGGTTCTCTATGTGGTTCTCCTCGGTCATAATGATATTTTCTATATCTTTCATCGATAGGTGATCACAGAACGTGTCATACAAAAGCCTCTTCAGCTCCTCAACTGTCAATTTCTGCATGTCACACTAGAGACAAATATACACAAAAGTATTAAATATCCAAAACTACTATGGGCATTAGCTATCACACAAAGTTTACATGCACACACAAACACACTCTCACCAACCAACAATTACACGCATAATGCAAAAACACAAAAAAAGAAATCAACTGTGACCTTTTGTCTGCAATACAGAATAAATATATGGTGATAGTTTTTAAAATATAATTTTCCTGTAGTTACTGATCTTTATATTTAATAAATTTTTAGTGTCTAATGTCACTTTCAGTTTATTCCAAAAATTAATTATAATTAATTACAAAAGTAACATATGCATTATTCATATGTTCAGAATAGCTTGGGGTTATTAATAATCATTGTTAGTTTTTATGTTTTCTAAGTTAATTTGTTCAATATACAGTTTGAAAAGGTTATTGGGACAAACTAATATTTTATGAAGTTGTATTTTTTAAGTCAAGGTAATTGTTGCATATTAGACATAATGGTGATTACTGATGCATTCCCATGGCATGTGAAAATCAAGATTTTCTAATTCCCAGTTTGAAAAAAGAAATAAAACTCCCTAAGATCCAAATACATGAAGCTGAATATGAGGCTCAGTGTCCAATATTAATTACTGCTGTATAAAACACAAATTCAGTTGAGCATAAATAAAGTGTACTTTTTGTTTGTTTTTTTCCTCGTTAGAGTCCGCATTGCATAAAAGCAATGACACAATATTTTCAACTAATATTGATCATTCTGTGTTTTGGATAATGATCTTTATATTCGCAATTGATTTTGTCAAGTATCTGCTTTGCATTTTTGTTCTAAATAGCTATTTGGCACAACACGGAAAGGCCGTATACATTACGCCTACTGATGACTGCTGTGAATTATAAACAAGTGCTACTTTCTGTCTAGTCTGATAAAGATTTGCTTACTTTATGCAGCTACAAGGCTAAAGTTGTTGTGACCCCAATCTACTTTCTGATTAATATAGTTCATCTTTTGATCTCTTGAGGCATATGTTGCATGTTGCTATAAATTATTGAACCTCAATGTTGATCAATACATAAGGATACCAGAGATAGGGTAACTTACCTTGTACTAAAACAGCAGCACACTGCACCTTTTCACTACATACTTCATCCCATACAGACATATTATGCTAAATAGGGGGGCATTACCGGGAATACACACATTTAATTAACATGAAGACTAGTTTACATAAAGGGGGTAATTCCTTCCTGTTTGAACTCCAATAAAACCCCAACACATTTGTTATATACAGAAAAACCCATGGGCACATGCTCATCACTTGGGACACTTTTTAGTTACCATTTAAACAGAAATCAGCAGAAACTATAAACAAGAGGAAAGCATGCAAACTGAAACATGAGATACACGCATGGTAAGTAAATAAATATAGTAATCAAATGTTTAAAGAAATCTAGCATTCTGATCTGAAGATTATATATTTAACCCTTTAAAACCTAGACAATTAAACAAAAGGGAGATAATTCTATTTCTTTCAAATTATAGTTGTCATTGAACTTTCATAAATTTTGTATGTGTTAGATGATTTACTTGCATCATTTTTGATATGTTAAGCATTCGTGCATAATCTTTTATAGATCATCTGTGCACTGCATGTGTCTGATTGTTAAAGTCAGGGTTTTCAAGAACAAGAATATCAGACCCAAGATGCAGAGGCTTGCTGAGGTTTCAAAACTCATGTATCAGATATTATACATTTGGCTTTAAATGGTTAAATCATTACTGTTATAAAACAAGCTTTTTCATTATGGGATACTGTAATTAAATAAAGAACTTGTCATGTTAGAATATCATGAAAATATATATATGTTTTTACTGTAGACCATTTATTTTTACAAGCGATAGTATCTAGGAAAAGTCCCTCTACCCTAAAATAATTTTGTGTCAAATAATAACAGAACAGAAACCATATATTGGTTTTTATTCAGATAAAATATCCTGGTAAGAGCATATAGCATGCAAATGCAAGAGTATATAACATGTAGCTGCGTTTCCATCAAGTTTAATATAACTGAAATTTTATCAACTTATTTCAGGTTCTGAGTTCAGGAGGTAAAATATACAAAATATAGGTGAATTTAACAAAGACAGATGTTTTAAAACCTGTTTATGATGATTTTTTCCTTAGAGCTTATGAAAACATAAAATGTCTTGTAAGCTACAAAAAGCTACTAGACAAAAAAATAAAATGTGATTCTACAATAAAATCCTTTGGTGAATTCCACGTATTACTAAATAAATGGTTGATTTTGTTGTATGTGTTTCATCATCAGTGAAAACAAAGTTTCTTCCGAAAATGTAAATGTTTTATAAGTAAGCTTTTATTGAGCAATATTTACCTATTTGGTGTTCACATCATTTTAATGGTTTGTTGTGTATTTAATTGTTAAAGCAGCTTTGCTTAGAGTATGATATCAAACACAAATTTCCCTGTGGGGAAAATAGAGTGTACATCTATCTACATGTTCTAGCAGTATGTCATTATGCCCCTGCTTGGACATTGCATCTCCACATTTTTAAATCAGCCTGAGACAAGATCAGCGGTTTTGCATGAACATCTGTGTGAAAGTTAAGCAACACATGAAAAGTTAAAATGCTACATCTTTTTCATACTGTTTTGCTAGGTTTTATTTGTTTTTTCAATAATTTACTTTCTTCTCCCCAGTGCAGTGTGTGCACTAACAATTCTCATTGTTCACAAGTTACTGTGTGACGAATATGTCTCTGCTTTATAATACAGTGAGTCACTTTAATTTGCATGCTAAATTCACCACCAACCTTATGATATGATTGCCTAACAAGGTGTCTTTAAATAGAATAATAACTACTTTTTCTATAATGATAAAAAGCAATAATGTCATAAAGAAATAGCAATTGAATTAATGATCCAGAGAGCATGGCAATGAGCCAGCTCTTTTCTGAAGTTAGAGTATATAAATTATTATGTGTTGGTAAATGAGCAACACCTGAGACTGCCTAGTCAACACCTCTCCCCTTTAAGCTGGAAATCCTGCATGAATAATAAGTACCTTCCAAAAAACTGAGTCAAAATCAGTTCCGTTGAACTTGTCTGGCACCCCTGCTGCTGTCAGCTTTGGACCTAAAAGAGTTACAAACTCCTCAAAGTCCACCTGGCCATCACCTGCAAAAAGATGACATGGTAGTTGTGAGTTATCGTTGGTTTAGGTTCTACTGTGAGGCACTTGATTTATTATCTATAAAAGCAGAACACGGGTGAATAAGCTACACTAAAATATTTTCCTCAATATGTCATCCTTAAAATCTATCCATCTGAAGGACAAAGTAAATAAATATTTATTTAATAAAAACCAAGATGATTTTGCGTATATATGTAGATTTATTTTAAATTAATCTAAAAAAAAATCTCTTTTATAATGCTAAAAAGTAAATCTACAGAAAATGATCAGCATTGGACAGATAATCTTGCAAGGAATTTATACAAAATTAGTCAATACATGTATGCTGTATCAAAACCAGACCTGGAAGAATCAGTTTTTTCTAAAGTGGTTGTTAATTGCTAGTTTTGGGGGTTTGCTGGTTCTACTTAACAGGTAGAACCTGTAAAACTAACTGAATAAAGAAAATGGATTCATGTTCAAAGTTTCATGTTTTTTAACCATTTATAGCCCTTTATCCAAATTTATTTATTTTATTTTTTTTGTAAATTTCCAAATTACCCTAATATTTGACCTCTGTTAGTAGGCATTCTGATAAATAACTGTATTGGGCTGACCCCCTGCTCTGGTCATAAATGTTAATGAATTGATACTTTGGCATTGGTCACAATCCAACAAGGACAGTAAAAAGGGACCTGGAGAAAATCAGTTACATAAGCTACAGTAAGACATTAAACAGAAGGCAGTTTTACGAAACAGAAAATAGAAAGCAAGAATCTTACCATCCATGTCAAGTCTTTGGATGATGACCTCCAGCTCCACCTCGTTTGGCATGTAGCCCAGGGAGCGCATGGCCATTCCCAGCTCCTGCTTTGAGATAAACCCATTTCCATCTCGATCAAACACCTTGAAGGCCTCTCGAATCTCTGCAAAAAACACATGGATTCACAACAGCTCAGTTTTTGGTTCAAATCAGAGCACGAAGGATTCCAAAGACCCATTTGTTATGCTGCTTCAAAGCCTGAGTCATAGTTATATGGAGGTTGGCAGCTCAAGAGAACATATTCCAGTAGTTAACTGGCAGAAAAGAGGCAAAATAAAATAAGAACCCTGAAATCTGAACAATATAGTAGGGCAGAGCCCTCTCCCTTAGGTTGGGACTTTTTCATGATGAATCAACTCGTCCCACATATTTTGGTTGCCAAAATCAAAAAAAGAAAAAAAGGCTCTGCGGGGGGGGGGGGGGGGGGGGGGTCTCTGAGAGAGAGTTGGAAAGTTGGGTTTGCTGCTCTCTTCTCCTGCCGGCCACCTGAGACTCTTCCTGGCATCCCTGGTTCGCCCTTCGCCCTCCATGGGCGAGTTGTTGTTTTTTTTTTCTCTTTGGGGCGTCTGGAATCCGCCCTTGAGGGGGGGGGGCTGTCAGGATCCGGGGCTTTGCCCACCAGAGGGCGCCGTGGATCCAGGCTGGGGAGCTTTGGCTCAGCATGGACAGCTGTTGTCTATTTGCTGATTAAGGAAGCCTTTCCTATATTAGCTGAGTGTGACCTCCCCTCTGAGCTGGATCGTTGTGTTTTACCTGTGCCACCATGCCTGTCTGAACCTGCAACCTGTCAGTCTGTCAACTGGTTCCAATTAAATACTGGACTTTTAATCCTCCCTCTGTGTCTGTGAGTCTGCATTTGGGCTAGTAAAACCATTGCATCATGACAATAACATTGTGAAACACCTGGCTGACATTATAGCACCTATTCTTTGAAATACACCACATTCGGTTGTAGCCTTGGCACAGCAATAAACCATGCAATATACAGACCTCGGTACTTTATATGGCCATCAGTTGGTCTGAGTCCCAACCGCACGTATGCAACACACCCCAAACTAATTTCCCATCATTTTATGACCACCAGTGCCAAGAAAAAAAAAGGAAGAAAAAAAAACACTGCATCATATAGAAAACTTCATGAATTTTCTAACAAACTAGCCCCAGGAGAAATAATGATAGTTTGATTTCACTTGATTTCCCCTTTTTAGCTCACATCAGGGGCAGAATACAGTCAGAAAATGGCTTCCTAAAGATGCGTACCTCATAAACAGGGTCAATTTCATTAGATCGTTACCATGCTGAACCTCTACCCTGAATTGTTTGGAAATGTGGTGCTCAACTCTTCAGGATAAAACTTGATTTTTTTTTTTGCCAAAACCTGAAGGATATGGGTAACTTTTTTTAAAAGGCAGAGATTAACCCTAGATTTGAAGGAAGTTTATAATTTAACTCGAACAAACAAAAATCTGTCTGACAAATGAGAATCAAACCAGCGCTGTGCTTTTAACTAAATTTCTACAGCGCATTCAAACCAATATTCTGATGCGGCTTCCTCTGAAAGGAATTGGACAGTTGTTATTTGGATACATTAGCTTATCACTCTAGCAGTGCTTTGTCCGATACAACCTTCAATGCAACTGTCACTTGTGGTGAACTAAAGAGGATTGATTATATTAGAGCACTAATGATGTAGAGAGACTTAACAAACAGAATGATCAAAGATCCTTTACTCTCTATGTGATTTGCTACAGGGGTAGACAGCCTTTCCACCTCCAAATTCAATGAATGTACTCTTTTCCAAAATATTCACTGCAGTAGTGCACAAGTGGGCTAAAGATATATTTTACATTCATTTTTAAATACTGTATATTTGCTAGAGTTTACAGTTTGTGTGATGGGTACCATGCTGCACTTTTAAAGCGATATTAGGTTTTTGTTCAAATCCTTTATGGTTAATAAAGCTTAAGATTTAGGTTTTATATACAGGTACATGTCCTCTACTACGTTTAAATACCTCTACTGCATATTTAAAAATAGACTGGGAGCAAAACTGAGTATGTTTGTGCTTTATTCATGTATTTATTACAAAGTATTAATCAAACCTGGGAGCTGGCCGTGAGACAGACACATCGCTGATGACACAGGGCGCTGATGATCACTCCTCTGAAACAGTTTATTGACGCATAAATTAACTTAAAATGCAGAAATCTGCTGGCAGAATATGTTCGCTTTTATTTTCCTGGTGCCTGCAGTTTAGATTATTTAAATGAAAAACACCTACCAGCGGCCGTGGTGAACCGCGAGGAGGCGACAAAGCCAGAGGCTGCTGTTGAATGGGTACATGGGGGTATGTGGGGGTCTGAGCGGCACCAACAGAACTAATATTGGAAGGCAGGATGGTAATCTGGATGAACTGACTGCAATGATTAAGTTTTCAGGTGGACTTTCCCACTTAAAAACATATTAAAACTTCTTTATTCCCACTGATCACAGCAAATATAGCTGCGAGGCAAAGAAAGGATAGAGTAGCTCCGCCCAACGCGCGTCCTTCACACTTTTGCACCGCGCAGCCAGAGCAGCAAAGCTGCTTCAGCCGCGCATCAGAACTAACTGGTACAAGCAGCAAAAATTAAGCAGCAGACACGATTTTGCTGCTCTTGCTGCATCCGGTGTGAACATAGCATTACTTTGAACGGCCGGTTCACACCAATGTCGAGCGGTTGAAGTTCCTTTGTCAGACCTCCCGGAATAAATAAAATGTACAATAATATAAAATATACAATACGATGGTAATGGCAGCAGAAAAATTCTTATTATTATTTTTATTAGCAATTATGTAAGATATATTTGTAATAGTAACAGTGCAAAAGAACAGTAAATAAATATAGTAATAATAGTAGAGCAGGAGAAAGGAGACAGTCAGTCTATGAAAACAGACACGCACAAAGACTGTCTCGCTCTCTGTCTCTCTCTCGGTCTGTCTGTCTGTCTGTCTCTCTCTGTCTGTGTCTGTCTTTCACAAACACGCATCCACGCACATGTCCTGCTTTAATCCAGCTTCTGACGAATGGAACTGGGTCGAATTTGTCCAGAGGAGGTCCGTTCAGGTCTACAAACAGGAGTGAAGACCTGCTGTCTTGGCGCAATCTGTTTCGTGTCTGGTTGCCTATGTTATTAAGTGCGGAAAAGCACATGGCTAATTTGCATACACGAACAGGATTGGCTGGCTCCACTTGGCAAAAAACAGAACATATTTGTGAATAAATGTTTTGAATTTTAAATACTGGACACGTTGAGCTTAAAAACATTTTAGTGACCATTAGTGACAACAAAATATTTTATTTTTCATTTTTTTGGACACAATTTAAGACCCCTTTAAATTTAGCTTTGAGTCTTTCAGGGGGTCTCAATGTGTTAATCGGGGGGGTCGAGGCCCGGACCCCCCCGTATTTCGCACTTTGCATAGGGCGCATCGCACTATAGGGCGCGTCGCACATTTTGAGGAAAAAAAAGACGTTTATATGCGCCTTATAGTCGCGAAAATATGGTAAACAAAAAAAAAATTCTGTTTACTGCTGAAACGATATTGAATAGAAATTAAGTTCAGTTGCTTTTAAGTTGTTAAGCAGTTGAGTTGCTTTTCTTCTTGAAACAGCAAACCTCTGAGTTCTCAGCCACCATCCACCTTCTCAATTCAGAGGACTCCATTCAACAGCCCCTTTCCTCCCCCGCCATCTTGTCCCTTTCAACATCACAGATCAAAGTGCGAAAGGCTGCGGGTCAAGATGACAACAGCTTTAGACCTTTGAAATATTGTGCAGTTGAACTATGTGGCATAATGTGTGTTACATGTTCAACTTAACCTCTTACACCCTAAGGGGGTATAAATAAATTTCTGCCTGACAAAAACACACAAAAGTAAATAACTTATAGCCTCAAAGCTATTAGATTTAAGAAGAAACTTTTGGTACGTCTGTAAAGGTAAGATGTCATAGAATGGTTTTCTGGTGTCAGCACCATTGTAGCTTTGACCCTGCCTGAAATATTAGGGACAAAATACAAAATATTTTGCATTTTTTGAACCTTGCCAAAATTTTCTTTGAAATAAACATTGCAAAACACTACCAAAATATTATTTATAGCACAAAAAAGTAGTACAGACTTTCAAATCTAAATGTTGTGTAAAAATGTACCAAATTTGGACTCAATCAGATTAATCATATTTATTTTAGAATGGTATTAGTGAGAAATTTCTTAGGCAGAGAGGCCATTTTGGCACATTTATCTATAAATGTCACCAAACTCTGCCAAATATGTTTTTTACATCAATACTGGGGGTTTGGTAAAATTACCAGGTCATGTAGCAGCTGGACCCGCCGGTGGGTCCGTAGGGTTCTAGGGGTTAAGCCTGAAGCTGAGAAAAGGAATACCTCATGTGGCACTGATGCCAAAGACAAACTATTCAAAGTACCTCAGCAGCTATACCCCTGACTGAACGGTTGGTCTTATACCATCTACCCACTCTAGTGAGAACCTAATTGGATCAACTGCAGTTTGTCTACCGGTCTTGTTGAGGTGGATGTTGCAATCAGTTCTGACTAAATTTGAGAAACCTAGAAGCACTGTGAGGAACATGTTATTTGATTTCTCCAGCGCTTTTAACACCATATCAGCAGGGGCATTTAAGGGGAAGCTGGACTGGAGAGCCCCTTCAGTGGCTGACTGCTGCACCCTAAATGCATTAAGAATTTTGCAGATCCTTCCTCTCAGCAGCTGGAAGACTGGCAGTGCTTCCAACAAGCTGAATAAGTTTTTACATTCAAGCTGATTTTACAGTTTCTATTCTTTGTCACTTTAAATAACATGCTGCTGCCGTTTTGTACATCTCTATTGTTGCCTCTATGGCTTATGTCCACTTACTGCAAAAATGTCCACAGTAGTGTATTTTGGGTTATTTATTTATCCTTCAATGTTTTTTTTTTATCTTACTGTACATTATTTGTATTTTTGTTTTTAAAATTTTTCCACTATTCTGTTATTATTTTACACGCTTTTTAATTACTATATCCCGGCGACATCTTTATGATGCCTGTGCTTTGCTTC